CATTTGTTACTAATTGCGATTGGCTCGATTGTTCATTAATGGAGCGGACTTTTTCCTTTAATTATCGATGGCGGATGTTAACGTAAATTGGTGTTTTTTTTTCTTTAATGGGAAACATTGAGCGCGAAAGGTGAATTTCGGCGTGTTGATTGCAGCCTTATTTTTATAAACGGACGCAGCAAGATAAAATAAATAAGGAACGCCGGCGAGGGAAAATAACCCGTTCGACCCACACACACACTGCGCGGAGCAGTTTTAATAGCTCTCCATCTTACGAGAGAAAAAATCATGTTATTTATGTGCATCTGCTGGAGTCAAAAATCAAAGTTGGGAGGAAACAACAACTTCCTCCTATAAGTAGAAACAATGGCTTAAAAAAACCGGAAAAACCATTGGAATCAGCTGCTTAAAAATAAGTGTTGGCTTTTGGAAGAGTATTTACAATGATTTATAAAATATCCAATCTCTATTAAAATAAAAATATTGTGGAGTAATTTCTAAATCTGATTCTTTCGTTACATTAATTATTATATAAGTAAAGAATTGAATTCCAGCTCAAATTTCATTATTATTTTTATACAAAAAATGATATACAATATTTGCCAATTAAGAAAATGCTGCGTGAGGAGCATATGACATTGGTCATCTTTAAGATTAAAATCTTTGTTACACAACACAAGAATAGTAGTAAAAATTAATATTAATTAATTTTAAAATATTCTAGATTTGTGTACACAAATCTTAGCAAATATGTTATTTCTTTAAAAAGTTAAATAAATAAAATTAATATTATTACAATAATTTATTAAATAAATAAAAAAGCGTGTCAAGTTTAAATGTTCTCAAATAACATTTAGTTAAAAAAAAGTTATATTATTTTTTATATTCTATAAGATTATTATGTATTTGCATGATTTTTTTTTTATAGAAAACAATAAAAATTGCCAATTCTCTCCGTCTCTCCCTAAAGAATTTTTAAAAGAATGACTAAATTTCAATTTATTATAAATTTCAATTAATTAACGCAGAATGATGTGAAAATTTTTTTAATTTTGAAAATTTTACTCGGCGCGAATTGCGCGTACAAGAATGGAGAAAAAGTTGGCAAAGGTCCAGCAACAAGTCTACTCACGCCTCCAAGTACTGGAAGACCCTGTAGACGGGCCGCCTGTAGACAAACAAGTTGCCATCCACCCTTTCCATGGCGTCGGAAGAGCGGCGGGCGGGCGGGCGGTCGACCGACCCGTCGAGGAGCTGCGATCGCTGCAGGGACCGAACGCCGACTGCCGTTTCCCACCGACGAGCGCGGCGGACACAAACGCCACGCAGAGCGAGCAACGAACGGGGCGTGCCTCCGGCCAGACTGCACGCCGCCGCCCCGCCACACCCTGCGGCCACCCTTGCACGCACCTTTCCACCCCTAAAACCCGCCGCCGATCATTATGAATTTCAGTCCGTTCAAAAAACGCCTCCTTCCCAGACTGTTAATTCATATTTAAATAGAAAATATTCAATTTTCAGAGTTTCATTAAAATCACTATGAAATTTTTGAAATAAATCTATAACTGGATTTAATTAAAGCCTTAAAACGTCACCCACTTTGGGAACTTTTTTGTTAGTCAATCATTTTTTACTTACAACATTATTATTTTATGAAATAAATTATTAGAAATCCGAATCCGTTTTGAAAAGATTTAAAATTTCCGATCAATTTTTTTTAAATTTGGACATTTTTATTCGTTTTCCGAGCATTGGTTTTCTTGGTCAGTTCCTGAATCCATGTTAAGATTTGTTTGAAAAATATTATTAAATTTATTTATATACGGCAGTTCCTCAATAGTTCTTGTATAGTTACGTTTCAACTGTTTCATAGAAAAAAGTAGGTGTATTGTTAATTAACTAAAAAAAAACAAATATTATTATTTTGGTCAAATAAGTGTGCCTGAATATTAATCTGTAAAATTAAAAACATTTTCTCTGTGTTGAGCGGGTTGAGAACGTGAGCAATTGTCTTGCAAAAATACTTTACCTTTTATTTTTTTATATTATTGGTATTTCTATAAAATACTAGTTTTATTTCAATTAACCGCTTGAGGGTTTTTTAAACACCCAGAAGAGTTATTTTCATAAAAATGTTTTGTTAATAATTTTAAACTTTGATTCCCAAAAAATAATAATTTTCAAAAATTCAGCAAATTTACTTCAAAACACAGGAAAAATCAAATTTTTCTCATGCATTTTACTAACAAATTAAAATAACTTTTCTGTGTTTAATCCTGGCAAGACGCATTAATTGACCAAGTTGATTAAGAAACTAATCACGATCAAAGCATGATTAGATTGTGGATTTTCTAATTTAAGATGAAAATGTTATAAAATGCGTAAAGTGGCAATCAATGTTTTACATAGGATTGTAATTTAAAATCAATCTTAAGCATACAAACTTGCGCTCGAACAACAAGTTGGGGAGCTTTTTTGCCCCGGCAGCAACTTTAGGTCAGAAATAGCCCATTTTGCCGGAAACCGGCGCAGCGGAGAGTAAATATACTCCTTCCTGCTTCTGTTGCTCTTTGCTTGCTTATTTTATCAGGGTTTGCGACAAAACATGCTTGTCTGCCCTCAAGTGCCGTCGCGTGTATCAACTTTTGGTGCTCGTTGGCTCAATAATTTTGGTCAAAATTAAAATTTGAAGAAAAAAAATAAAATTACATGGAAATTTAAAGAACCTGTTATTTAAAATTTTATTCCACAAAAAAACTAAATATTTATGGAAAGAATACAACTGTGCTTTTCCGATTTAAAAAGCAAAATATTAAAAAAAAAATTTAACTTTAATTTTGAAGACCACCTATAAAATGTAGAGTGGCTTTAATTATGAAAAAGAAATCTATTGATAAACTTTTTTTTTAAATAAATAGCGACTAGTTAACATTTCAGTTTTATCAATAAAGTTTTTGTAAAATTTTTAAATTGTGCTAATTTTTTACAGCTGCGGAAACAGTTTGTGTTTGATTCGTTTATTGCCGTGCAGCCTTGGTTCGATTGCATTATTTCACGGCGAATGCTGGTTGTTTTTTAGCGTCTCGCTGCTCTCACGTGACCAAAATAAAACTGTCCGTGGTGGCATCGTGTGTGTGCACCACAATCCTTGCTAACCCGCGCTCATTGTGGGAGGTCAAGTTGGGGGTCAGTCGAGTCTAGTTTTGATTCGCACTTTTTCGCCTCGCAAATCGCACGCAGAATTTCCTCGTAAAACGCTTTTGCATTACAATTCGCGGAAATAAAATATATAAATGAGTCAACAAAAGAAAGAGTTCTACTTACGAATAATCTCACTTGAGTGCAGCAGAGATGAGACGCTGGTCGACACCACTTCGTAGTTGGCCCTGAAAAAATTGACAGTCAATTATTTTGTTTTAACAGCAAAACTAGATTAAATCTATTGGCAAACGATAGTGTAAAAATACAAATATTGTCCTTCTGATAAGACACGTATCTCAAACAATGACATTTTTTAATAATTATAAAAAGTGACTTTAAAAATCTTCTATAAATTTCTTCAATTTTTCAACTTATGTTCTATTAAAACTGTGAAACAAAAAAATTAAAAGCACATTTTTTTAGCGGAAAGAATGCCGTGGGGGATGGTAAAAGTGAGAGCAGATTTTCGATGACTCCGTCTAATGAGTTCGTGCGACCAAAACATTGGCCCTTTTTAAGCCCAAACTAACCTAGCAAAGTCCAATTTTGGTCGGCCCTCCGCGGGATGAGTGATTCCGAGAATTCGTGAACCTCTGCAAGTTGTTGAAAACGGCGACGAAGATCAATGGACCGATGAATTCATTCAAAATTCACTTGTGTTTTGACTCACAGACCACCATAACCGAGAAATCACTCGTGCACTTAGCAGATCGGCCACTAACACGTTGGAGGCAGCACCTGTCACGTTATCACAAAAGTTGGCGCGGAACTAAAAGCAGGAGGGAGGGAGGGGGTGAAGGAAGAGATCTGATGATGTGGCCGTGGCTGATTAATTTAGTTATAATTATTAAATTATTTTACTTTTATTCTTCCTGATCAATGCAAAACTTGGAAGTACATAAAAAAAGGGGAAAAAGGGTTAAAATGTGGCATATTTCGGGTAAAACGCTTGACATCATAAAAGTACTTGGCCGCGCGGGTAAACCGTAAACCAACACCAACACTATCAAAAGAACCAAAAAGAACATTATAAACCGGAACATACAATATTATTGCAACCAAAGTAAATTTGCTGCCAAAAACTAATGCCGTTTCATTAATTTTATTTTTAAATATTTAGCTTTTCTGATGTACTTTACTGAGAGTATTTGAGAGCGTAAATGAAATGAACAAATTAATTTATTGAAAAATAAATAATAAATCAGTTAATCAATAACTATCCCTATGCAAGTAAATTATCTTAGATATGTCAATTACCTATTTTTTTTTAATGTTATCATTTGATATAAAAACTCACCAATAATTTTATTCGATAAGAAACCGTCAAAAATAGTTTAAAGCTTATTATTTTCATTCATATGAGGAAGAAACAAAACTTTGAAAGAAACAAATATTTTATAATAATTATTAACATAATTTTTTTTATTGTTTTATATTATTTATCAAAGCGATAATATTTTACTCTACAGACTGGCTAGTTTGTGTAATTTTCTTTTACAAACGGATTTTAGAATTCTTGAATAATAAAATGAGCGTAAAATTCATGGTAAATGTTCAAACTTATTTTGGTTTGCAAAATTCTATTGCAATGAGCCTGACCTTAAAATTAAATTTTTATTTTAAACGGTTAAAAAAAACGTTCTTATAAGCCGTGGAGACTCCAGTGTTGTGTGCTTCCCTCTCAGAGCGTTGTGTCGAGTGATGGTTGGTTGGTGCGCGCGGTGGTGGCGCCTCGACTGGCGCGCACCGTCCGCTCTCCAGACTTTGGTACACGCGGGTTGCTCATTCTCGCCAGCAACTCTGGTGCATCTGGACTATCAATTCTGCAAGTTGCCAAAACGCGGTCTCGGCGGCGGCGGCGCGTCTTCGCTGTGCGGTCGGTGACTTTTTGTGCTGTGACCCTTCTCGGATTCGACCCTTCTTTGGATTGTCAATTAGGACAAAATGATTCCGGAATTAGTCAAGCTACTCGCCTTACTGTACCTTTCAGGTAAGTCGAATTACTTGGTTTTTCTTTACTTTCTCGCGAAGATTTTATAAATTCAAAATCAGATAAAAAAGGAAATAAACAAAAATTTTTAATAATAAATATAATAGTGTATTAAATCATGTTAGCATAATTTTAAACACATAATTTTATTTTTCATTACATAATTATTTTATTTATTTTTTTTAATTTTCAAATATCTTTTTTATAATTAATTTAAGTATAATACTATAATATTTTTCAATTAAAAACGCCGTGTTTTGTTATTGACTTGCTATGACAAACAATGAAATAAAAATTTATAAATATGTTGTCGTTACAAATAACAAGTTGAAATTAAAAACTTATGTTTCATGGACCTTACGGGTGGTTTAGATTTATTCTTGAATAATTAAGCTCCTTCATGAGTAAATAATGTCAACATTAATGAGAAAAAATCAAAATACATGTTAAGCTTTTCTTATAGAAACTCACAATATTAAAAATAACTTTTCTCTCAATCATGGGTGACATTAGAATGAATGTAATTGTTTGCATATTATATAATATGCTGTCCAAGAATGATATCAAAGGTAAATAAGTACAATATTTGACTATGCTTGATAAAATTAAGTCACACAAATTGTGACAAATTGAAATTGTATAGGAAAAGTGCTATTTTATATTAAATACCTATAATCAAGTTTTATTATTATTTTGATCAGAAAGGAACACTCCCCTGACATTCTAATTGGAAAAGAAAATAAATTCAAAAATAGCTTCTTTGCACTTTGAGAAGTTGAATTGCAAAACAACACATGAGACCACAACTGGCTATTGCTAATATTTCTCAACATGATGGTCTGACTTTCTGTTTTCACCTCCTAAAAGTGCGAAGAAGTTCTTTTAAATTATTTTTGTTTAATTAAAAATTATAAGCATAGCTTCGATTACGGAAAAGCTTATATTCTACGCAAAAAATTTTAACTCCAGAGCTCTCTGACAAGTCTCAATTTTTTACTGGACGACAGAGGGCATCACACCCACTTGCATCCACCCGCTGACGATTTCCTCAACGATGTGTGGTGGGTGTAATTGAAAAAAGTCAGGTAGTAGCAATGACGGAAATTGTAATGGCTGAAGTTCCTATTTTAATGCCGGGACACGTTTATTCTTAATGACAAAAGCGCTCTCTTAGGAATATTAGTTTTAATTTATTGCCACGGCTTCCTCTCTGCGCGCCGCCCGACGAGTCTAGAAATGGAGATGTTTCTAATTTTAATTGCATTCGTTGGGCCGAATATTGCAGTGAAAAGAGGCTGATGACGTTCAGAAACCTTGATGTGGGGATTCAATTGACTGCACGATCGAATACTTGCAGTAATTTTATTTGCAAACGTGCGAAACCTTTCAAAATATTATGTATGCAGTCTCAGGAGGCTTGAAAACGGCAACACCGCAAAAAAAATCGCAGCAAAGATATTTCAAAGCATTGTCTTGGCATGTATACAAAAAGAAATTTATTTAAAACTTTTGATAAATGTTAAAAATATTTTCACATATTTATAGATTTCAGTTTTATTAATATTCTAATGACATTCTAAATTTAATTTTACAGCAGGTTTTATTTTTGACCGACGATGATGATTAAACCCGTCACAAGCCTTAACTTATGACGTGAAAAACTCAAATTTTATTACTATTAGCGCCAACGGCAAAAAGTCCTCGCGCACACATATTGTGGCACATGTTCGCTCTGAATTTTTTGTGGCATTTTTATATTAAGACGATATATGTATTTGAAGGAAGCCCAGTTGCTCGCTCAACTTGTCCAAGGAATTTATTGGTATCAGATGTTTTTACGGCGAAACGAAAAACGCCTCGGCTCGTCACTGCACATGTCGCGAGAGCGAGTCTCAAAATCAAAAACTCACAACTCGAAAGCGCGAGAGACTCGGCGCACTCGTCTCGCTCGCTCTCTCGCGGGGTTGTTTCATCTTTTTGAGGTAATCGAGAGAGAGGCACGGTGCGTGTAGCATTAAGTGGCACGGCTGCGTGTGCTTTTTATAAAAACACGCGTGTTCTCTCGTATTTCCAAGTTGTATATTCCGCCGGGGGAGAGAAAAACAATGCTATGGCTGCCGAGTAAAAATACCGCAATCAAAATAAAGACGCGATGTCGACGGAGATCCATCCGAGTTTTGAATTTAAATTAGTGTCACATCCAAAGCAAAGCCCTCTATCCACAAAGAGACACACGGCGGAAAACCACTCACGTGAAAGAAAAACGCTGCTCGTCGGAATTTTTTTACACGCAGAGTGGAGACGCAAAACCGCGGTGAAACAAGGCAAATTTCCTCTTTTTGTGCACTTGCAACTCAATTTCCTGGGCTTTTCTGTGCTCACTTTAATAATACCACATTCAGCTTCCAAGCGAAGAATAACATTTTACAAAGCAAAGAAAGTCTACAAAATCAATTTTGTCCTTTGCAAAAATTTATAATTAGGAAAGATATGCACTGAATATTAGATACACCAACAGTAAGGGAAAAATTGAATTTTTTTAAATACATGTTCAAAAGAAACAAAGATTCAATCATATATTTGATAATTTGCAGTTTGATCAGAAAAAGTATAAAGAGATAAATTCAGACTACAAAAATTGTTATATTTTGGAGTCGTCCCAATCTTAGATTAGCAATTAAATTATGTTTTTGCAGACATATTAAAAAAATAATACAACTTACTTAATGTATAACTTATGGTCAAAGACATTTAGTATTTACAAAAATGACACATCACCTAACATGTAGATACGTTTTATATATTATATAATTAATATTTAGTTTTAAAAAAGAATATAAATATTATTAATCAAGACAATTAAAAATATATCCAAACTATAAAAAATAGTAAAAATTTAATGTTTTTTAAAAATTACTAATAAAATAAAAGTTTAATATAATATATTGCGGTAAATATATAAGTTTTTGCAATAACTAATTTTAATTATATTTACAAAGACAAAAAACAACTTTACTTAGAAGTAAATAAATGTGCGTCTAGACATTTCCTTGTTACACAACAACATTCCTGAGCCGTGTAAATAATTTAGGGGTTGGAGCAGGTGTGCTTGTCTGCATTTTTATTATTTCACGTTGCTGGAAGGCTCATGACTGGCGTTGCCGAATATAAAAAGCTGCAGAGCGCGTGTGTGTCGTGTTGTGCTTCTTTTTCTTTCTTTTAATTGCCAAGGGAGAAAAGACAATTAGGAAAGAAGCTAGGCATTATTATGTTTTCCCGTCTCAAATCTCTCCCCGGCACGCAAGTCGGACTTTCTTGCGCGCATTTAACCTAGGCTGCTAAAACGATTTGTACTTGGAGTCTGTCGTCGTCCCTCTGCGCAGATTTTTTTGCCTTCGCGAGAAATCTCATTAGCGACGAAACGCATTCCCACTTGACCTTCCGACTTATACTTAACAGACATGCCTCATTACAACGGGTCGCGCAAATGCACCTGTGCTCGCGCCCACTCAGCCGGGGCAACAACAAATTTGCTTTGCAGATTTTCGCAGAGAGCAGAGAATTTAAATTTCACGCTTGGCCCGCTTGATAGAATTTCTTGCAATGACACACTTCCGGAAAATTTATTTACCCGGGATTTTTTTTCGCATCAAAGAAAATAAATATTTTCAAGATATTTAAAAAAAAACTAAGGATGAATTTTTAATTAATTTACAATGGCAACTTAAAATTGTTAAGTGGAAATATGATGCAAAAATAGTCTCTATTAAAAAAAAATATTATTTTTGCAGAAATTATTTCTAAATTATCTCATTTTCGATCTTGAAACATTTTTGAAGAATTATATAAAATATATTGCATATTGCTAATGATCATATTATTGGAGTTTAACGCATTAAAATTTTTATCACATTTTTTTATTGAAAACTTGAGCACTAACGAGACAAAAATTTGCTTTAACAGAGTTTTTAAGATAAAGATTTTATGCAAATGATGGCAAATAAAGCGTACTATCGCTCGTCTCAGCTCCGTCGTAAAATCTGGTTGGATGGCGATGCAACCATTTTTATTCCCTTCCGAAGAGGTTCGGCGAGGCCATCAAGCTAATAGTACGAAATCTCAGTTCGCAAAGGTTAAAGGAGAGCGGAGAGCTTTTGAGAAACTCCACACGCCGGGGTAGATAATGTGGCTTTGTGGTTTTCGGAGGAGGGCGCGGGCGGTTCCTCCTTTCAAGAATTATCTCTCGTCTCTGGGTCCCCCAGCTCATAATGCGTAATGTGCACCTGTTTACCCGGCCGGCGTGGCTTAACGCGAATAGACAGACTCGTACGCACGTCCACCGACCACACCTACTTCTCATACATACAGACACGCTTATGTACTGTATGTATTGCCGCTGTTATGTATATAAAACACCCCGAGCGGCAAAGCCAGACCGCCGCTTAACCCTTTCTTGAGCACAAATCCGCCCGCGTACCCAGCTGAGGCCCTGCTTTTTATTTTGTATAAGGGAGGATAAGCAAAAGAGATTCTTTCCGTGCCCCAGGCCAGATGGGATTTTTGCGCTGCTGTAAAGCAGGAAGAAGTACCCGATGCTCCTCTCTGCAAATAAGCCGGAGTTATTGTAATTTGAAAGGTTCATTATTTAAAGCCGCCTTGGAAAAACCAAATTGTTTATTTCCAGGGAGGCCATCATAAATATAAAAAAAAAAAATTAAATATAAACTTACTCCACCACTTCCATTTTTCCAATTCTTGTGTTTTTGAGAAATCTGAAGATTTATAAGAAAAAATTTAATAAGTAGAAAATTTATTGTTATGGTTTTGGCTTATTTGTCAAATTGTTACATCGGATTACATTTTTTTGCATTCAATTAAAAAATAAAAAATATATTAATAAAAAATAAGACATGTTTGTCAACCGCACAACCGCTTGCAAGAAGTTTGATTTTAATTTTTTATTTTTGTTTTTGAAATTTAATCTCACTAAAAAGAAAATT